ACTTGTATAAAAGCTAAATAGCCTACTCACTCAGACTATCTCTGGAAGGTTCAAGATGAAACTAGTAACAGTTTTCTCTGGAGAAGGGAACTTAATATTATCAAGAGAAGATGAAGACAGTTATCAGAGTATATTCTTGTGTACCCTTTGATTTAAATGGATGCAAAGGAAGGAGGTCTGGCATGCTGCAGTGCATGGGGTCGCAGAGTCGGACATAACTTGGCAACTGAACAACAGTAACAACAAAGGAAGGAAGAAGAAAGAAAGAAGGAGGGAAAGAGAGGGAGGAAAGCACAATCTTTCTTGCTCCTCTCACTCAACGGTGGCCTCCAACAAGATCTCCTTTGCCCTTCCTCACTATCTTTACCTGGTACCTGTCCACAGACCACGACATACCTCTTTGCCCACTCAGGGAGAACATTTTAGAACTTGCCTGAGCATAGAAAGCACTTATTACCCAGCCAACTGGAAAGGAGGGTGTAGCTGCAATAGGCACATTGTGATTTTTTTTTTTTTTTTTTGCATTAAATAGAACACAAACATGAACTCAGCTACTGAGTCTCAAGGACTCAGTGAAAACAAAAATACATTTTCAGTGACTGTTGCCATTTCTTAGTTGCCAGACCTGTGACACATTTATGAGCTGAATGCACAGTACAGAAATTTACATTGGGTAATGACTTATTTGTTTTGTCAAATAAAACCATCAATCAGGAAAAATTTCCCTTTTCTCTTTCTAGCAGTTTTCTCATTTTCCCTAAGTCAAGCATGTGAGGCTTTGAGCACTCATTTGGTAGAAGTGAAAAGGTAATAGCAGAAAAAGGTCATTTGTGTCTAACAAGTTAAAGTAGCTAGGATGGTCAAAGGCCCTCTACTGGTTTATTTCCCTTTTCTGTTCAGTGAATAAGAACATGGCCACATCAATCATCCATTCCAGTGTATTTGTTACCAAGTCTGAGCTCATACCACTGGCCACGCAACAGGCCAATAAATCAAGAGATGAGCTGTTGGGACAAAGAATAGCAACTTTATTTGGAAAGTCAGCATGTTAAGATGATGGACTAGCAATCCAAAGAACCATCTTCCCAGCATTAGAATTCAGGCTTCTTTTATCCTAAAAGAGGAGGCATGTGTCTGGTTGTTTCAAACTTCTTGGTACCAGAATCCTTTGCGCTTGCAGTTGTCCAAGTAAGTCAGGTCACCATGTTTCTGTAAATATCCAACAAGGTTCCTGTAAACCTCTGTTCCACAACTTTTTGTCTCTATATGAGTGGAAAATGTTATATCTTTAAAGGGAGGAAGAGCCTTGAAAATGGGCTATCCTGTGTATTTCAGGTTTGTTATTTTCTGTTATACACTTATATTCCACATGATAATGCTGACCTGACTAACTTACCTATTGAGGGTAATGATTCTCAGGCCAGCTCTGCAGTATGATAAATATCTGATAATAGTTATTGTTTCAATATTTGCATTGTGAACCTGGAAATTTTTGAGATCAGGAAATATGCTTCCTGAAGCACAATAACTATCTACTATTTAAAAAATATACCTTAAAAGTGTTTTCTAGAAACTACAGGTTGTTATAGGCAACTATCAAGCTTCCAATTCCATCTCAAAACCCATCTTTGAAGACTTTTCTAAAGCTCCCCACCATGTCACACACCTGGAAGAGGTACATACCACTCCTCCATATTCCTTAGGATCTGAAGATAAAGTCTGTGCCTAATCTGAGTATTTTCAACACTTGTTTCAGGATCTAGCTCACAGTAATACTATGGATGAATGAATAAATAGTCTTATTCACTGCTTGATGAACATGTGTGGATTAAATAACAGACTCAAAGTGTTGATTCTGCTTGTTTTTAAGAGGAATTCAAGCAAGCATTGCTTGTTAATATATTATGAAATTTTGAAGTCCAAAATATACTTTTTAATACACTTGTAAATCAGAACCTTAGAGGATGAATTGAACTTCTATCACAATAATAAGGAAGTACTAAAAAAAAAAAACTAAGACATTCAATATGGATGAAACTCAAAAACAATGCTAAACAAAATAAATTAGACACAAAACAGTATATATCATCCAATTCCATTTATATATGGTACAAATATCAGCAAAAACCCATTTAAGGATTTGAAGTCAGGATGGTGGCTACTCTTGGTGAGTGGTGGTAGTATTAAAAACTAAAAGGTGAGATTAAGGGGCTTCTGAGGGCTGGCAATGTCTTGTTTCTTCATCTGAATGTTCATTTCACAGATGTGTCCAGCATGTGTAAACTCATCAGCTATATATTCTTGATTTGTGTCCTTGCATATAAAAGTATATTTCAATTAAAAGCTTTAAAAGGAATTTAGGCCAAGCAGAAAGTTTAAAACCAGTTAAATTCTTTTTTTTTTCATTTATTTTTATTAGTTGGAGGCTAATTACTTTACAATATTGTAGTGGTTTTTGCCATACATTGACATGAATCAGCCATGGATTTACATGTATTCCCCATCCCGATCCCCCCTCCCACCTCCCTCTCCACCCGATCCCTCTGGGTCTTCCCAGTGCACCAGGCCCGAGCACTTGTCTCATGCATCCAACCTGGGCTGGTGATCTGTTTCACCCTAGATAATATACATGTTTCGATGCTGTTCTCTTGAAACATCCCACCCTCGCCTTCTCCCACAGAGTCCAAAAGTCTGTTCTATACATCTGTGTCTCTTTTTCTGTTTTGCATATAGGGTTATCGTTACCATCTTTCTAAATTCCATATATATGTGTTAGTATACTGTAATGGTCTTTATCTTTCTGGCTTACTTCGCTCTGTATAATGGGCTCCAGTTTCATCCATCTCATTAGAACTGATTCAAATGAATTCTTTTTAATGGCTGAGTAATATTCCATGGTGTATATGTACCACAGCTTCCTCATCCATTCGTCTGCTGATGGGCATCTAGGTTGCTTCCATGTCCTGGCTATTATAAACAGTGCTGCGATGAACATTGGGGTGCACGTGTCTCTTTCAGATCTGGTTTCCTCGGTGTGTATGCCCAGAAGTGGGATTGCTGGGTCATATGGCAGTTCTATTTCCAGCTTTTTAAGAAATCTCCACACTGTTTTCCATAGTGGCTGTACTAATTTGCATTCCCACCAACAGTGTAAGAGGGTTCCCTTTTCTCCACACCCTCTCCAGCATTTATTGCTTGTAGACTTTTGGATAGCAGCCATCCTGACTGGCGTGTAATGGTACCTCACTGTGGTTTTGATTTGCATTTCTCTGATAATGAGTGATGTTGAGCATCTTTTTATGTGTTTGTTAGCCATCTGTATGTCTTCTTTGGAGAAACGTCTGTTTAGTTCTTTGGCCCATTTTTTAATTGGGTCATTTATTTTTCTGTAATTGAGCTGCAGGAGTTGCTTGTATATTTTTGAGATTAATCCTTTGTCTGTTGCTAAAAATATGGAACTCTTCACGAATTCGTGTGTCATCCTTGCGCAGGGGCCATGCTAATCTTCTCTGTATCGTTCCAATTTTCAGTATATGTGCTGCCGAAGAGAGCACACCAGTTAAATTCTTTGGTGCGATCCAGATATTTTCAACTAAAATGGAAAACCAATTTGGTGTAGAGAAAGCCATCACCACTTTATGATCGTGTCCAAGATTCTGAAGACAGTCTATAGTCTAATCAGTCATGCACAGTCTCCAGAAATCAAGTCTTAGACACTCTCTGCCCCAAATAAGTGCATATTTGCTCAGGCCTTATTAGGTATGCAAGCAAGTGGAACCAGATGACAATTGACCACATTCCTATAGTTGACAAACTACCAAATTAGGAAATTCAGTTTCAAATTTTTAATCATTTTAATTCTAAAACCCCATATTTGCTGATGTTTGTTCAACTGGCCTTTTTAAATTAAATGTAAAGTACTTTCAGAACCATAATAACGGCTGAATATGGTAATACCAAGCAAAAACAAGGATTCCATTTTCAGATTTTGCAACATTTTAAATTAAATATAAGTTACCGGAAGCTTCATGTGCTTGATGAAAATCGCTAAAGACTGTATTACTGCATGAAACTCCTCCATGGACTGAAATTCTGGTGGTGGGAATCCCATCCCTTTACCCATTTTACAAAAGAGAAAACTATACTTTCCTGTTTTATAACCCTGTATCCTCAAAACTCAGACTCAGGCCTGGTGCGTAGTAAACACTCAACGAAAGGTTTGGAGAGGTGTGCCAATTGCCCAAGGTCACCCACCGTTCCTGCTTCCTTCGGAAGTGAATCCGACAGGAAGGTGAGCGGCGGGGCTGGGTGGTGAATCTGAGGTGAGCCACCCAGACTTCAGCGAGGGGAGCGGCCTTAGGTTGCCCGGGGATCTTCCAACGTGCGTGTTTGGGGCGCCTCGCCCTTCTCAGAGGTTTACACACCCTCTTACTCAGAGATGAACCACTTTTGTTTCTTCCAGCTGGCAACCACAGGTCCTCCGGGCTCTCTAGAGCGGAGGCGGTTGTTCTCGCCTAGAGCCAGGGCTCGGAGGAAGTGGACGCACCCGGGATGTGAGTGACGACTACACCCGGAGGGCGGGGAAAGTAGCAGGACCTTAATCACCAGGCTAGTCCCAGGCGGGCCTCGGGGAACCGGGAAACGAGAGGCGGTCCAGAGGAGGGAAGGCAGGATGAGAGGTCACAAGAGGGGCGTGGGTCCGAGCATCCGCCCGGGTTCTCCCCGCTGTCCTGCCGCGCGGCAGCCCAGGGACCACCGTTTGTCCTTAGTCTGCAGAGCGCCCCCTCCCCGCGCAGCGGGACCTGGCAGGCTGGGGCTGGGGCTGGTCGTGCTGCCGCCTGCCCGCCGCGCTGGCCGCCCGTGCCCCAGGGCCGCGGGGCGGAGACCAGTCGGCGGGGGCGGGAGCCAGTCTAGGCGGCGAGTCCGCGCGCAGCACTCGCCCGCAGAGCCTCGCCGAGCAGCCGCCGCCACCGCGCGCCCCCGGCTCGGCCTGGGTGGCCTCTGCCCGCGTCTCCAGGAGGGCAGCGGCACACGTGCCCAGCCGCGAGACCGCACGCCGCAGGCTTGAGAAAGGAAGTGAGTGCCCAGGAGCTGGGCCCCGGCGGGGACTGGAGACTGGCGGGGAAGGGAGGCTGCGATGGGCACCACCGGTTCCCCAGACCCCCGCTCCTGCCTTTCTGCGGCTTCCTGCACATAAATAGCTGTTGAATTAAAAATCGCGTGATCAGCTTGTGACCACCTTCTCCGACCTTGAGCATCTGGCTGCGCAAAATAAACTCTCAGTCCAGCAGCGGTGCTGACCTTACGGGTGGAGAGGGGTTTCTACCCACCCACCACATTGCCCTGGGCCCCAGGACCCTGCATACCTGGCAAAAGACAGGCCAGTGGCCTTCGGACCCACTCACTCTCTGTTCTTCCAGAGGAAGCGTTCGGTCTATTTCCTTGTCTGTCTGCCTGTGTCTGTCTGTCTTGACTAAGTTTTCTATAGTGGACCGTCGTAAGTGGGCCACTGGGCTTCCCCAGGGAAGGCAGGTGTGCTGGGGCGCTTTGCTTCTTGTTCTGATCTTTAACACACTAGGTCTGGTTTCCCAGCCGAAGTCTGAGGCTTTCCTCAACAAGCAACAGCTTGCTGCAGAAGTTCACTCTCGAAAAGATAGGCGCAGAAAAGATAGGAGCGGAATGTGGGGAAACCAGATTGTCTCATTCTAGCCTGAATTTCGTTGTAAGGGAATCACCACCTATTGCCTGTTTTTTAAATGGGAAATACTTTGATTGCCCAGGTTAGGTAAGAAAAATCCTGTCTGATTGCTCCCAAAACAGGCAGTGAGGAGTCAATTTAAAAGTAAGATTATTTTCTTTATGTACAAAACATTTTAAATAACAAAGCCTCAAAGCGTAGCATTTAAAAAGCTGTAAGGACCTTAAAGTCAAATACTTCAATACCATGTTAAGAATCTGACAGTGAAAGAGGTATGCTTATTGTCTCCTCACTGGGAAAGATTCATGTTAGTTAAAATGTTTGGTGAAGGTACTGAGAATTTAGCTCATAGTTTTAAGTGTTGTATTTCATATTAACTTTGTAATATTATCGAGAATGTGTCCCAGTGTGCTGGTTGAGAGTTTGGAGTTAGAACCTGAATTTCTGTTTGCACTCCCTGATCTAACTTGCTGTGTGACTTTTGAAAATTACCTAGCTTTTCTGAGTCTGTGTTTCCTCATTTCTAAATGGGATTGCTGAGAGGATGGAGATAATACAAGGATAGTGGTTATCCCCCAGTACATCACTCTGAATGATGTACACAGTAAATAACACCTGAGGCTGATGATGACAGTGAGGTGGTTAAGCCCAATATAATCATTGCATGACACTGCCCATGCAAGAAATCTTGTATGTTCCTCTGTGAATTGGGAAGTGCAAACATTAGGATCCTTCTGGTCACCTCTGAACTCTTGAAGTTGAGTGGAGCAAATGAAATCTGTTCCAAGCCTGTTCAGATTTTCAGCATGTATCTTATGATTCTCTTTTGCTTACAAATGTGAACAGTGACACTGGTGGTTTAATTATTGCTTTTTATCAGTTTTTTTACTTTTTAATGAAACATAGTTGATGTACAGCATTATAAGTTACAGATGTACAACAGTGATTCACAATTTTAAAGGCTATACCCCATTTATACTTCTAAAATATTGGCTATATTCCCTGTGTTGTACAATATATCCTATAAGCTATAAAGGTTATTTATTTTATACATAATAGTTTGTAGCTCTTAATTTCCCCAATTTTGCCCCTCCATCCTTCCCTCTCCCCCACTGGTAACCACTAGTTTTTCTTTATATATGTGTTCTCTATCTATATATCTGTTTCCTTTTTGTTTTATTCAGTAGTTTATTATTTTAGATTCCACATATAAGTGTTATCATATAGCATTTGTCTGTCTGACTTATTTCACTTAGCATAGTATCTTCTAAATACATCCATGTTGTTGGAAATGGCAAAATCTCATTCTTTTTTATGGTTGAATAATATCCCATTCCACATATTTATCCACTCATATGCTGATGGGCGCTTAAGTTGCTTCATATTTTGGCCATTGTAAATAATATCTTTACAATATGTATATTTTGTATCTTTTCAAATTGGTGCTTTGGGGGGATTATTCGTTTTGTTATTTTGTTTTGTTTTTTGATATATATCAGGAATGTAATTGCTGGGTCATATGATAGCTCTATTTTTAGTTTTTTGAAAAATCTCCATACTGTTTTCCACACTGGCTACTCCAATTTACATTTTCACCAACAGTGTATTGAAGTTTCCCTTTTCTCCATGTCCTCACCAACATTTGTTATTTCTAGTCTTTTTGATCATCGCCATTCTGACAGGTATGAGACTGTATCTCACTGTGGTTTTAATTTGCATTTCTCTGGTGATTAACGATGTTGAGCATCTTTTCTTGTGCCTGTTGGCCATCTATGTGTCTTCTTTGGAGAGATGTTTATTTAAGTCTTCTGCCCATTTATTGAGTGGGTAGGGTTTTTTTAATTGAGCTGTATAAGCTGTTTGTATGTTTTAGAAATCAATCCCTTGTCTGTCACATCTTCTAAAAATATTTTCTCCCATTCTATATGCTGTCTTTTTGTTTTGTTTATAGCTTCCTTTGCTATACAAAAGCTTTTAAGTTTAATTAGCTCCCATTTGTTTATTTTTGCTTTTATCTCATTTGCTTTAGGAGACAGAAAAAGAAAAATGTTGCTACCATTTATGTCAAAGGGTGTTCTGCCTATGGCTTTTTCCAGGAGTTTTATGGTTTCTGGTTACATTTAGGTCTTTAATCCATTTTGAATTTTTGTATATAGTGTTAGAGAGTGTTCTAATTTCATTCTTTACCTGTAACTGTCCAGTTTTCCCAGTAGTACTTATTGAAGAGACAGTCTTTTCTCCATTGTATATTCTTGTCTCCTTTGCTATAGATTAATTGACCATAAGCGTGTGGGTTTGGTTTTGAGCTCTCTGTTCTATTCCACTGATCTAAGTGTCTGTTTTTGTGCCAGTCCCATGCTGTTTTGAGTTCGGTAGCCTTGTAGTGTAATCTGAAATCAGGAAGCACGCTTCCTCTAGCTCCATTCTTCTTTTCCAAGCTTGTTTTCACTATTGGTGGCCTTTTGTGTTTCCATACCAATTTTTACAGTATTTGTTCTAGATCTGTGAAAAATGCCTTTGGTATTTTTATAGGGATTGCACTAAATCTGTAGATTTCCTTGCATAGTATAGTCATTTTAACAATATTAATTCTTCCAGCCCATGAACATGGTATATTTTTCCATCTGTTTGTATAATCTTCCATTTCTTTCATCAGTGTCTTGTAAATAGATCTAAGTACAGATCTTTTACCTCCTTAGGTTGGTTTATGACTAAGTATTTTATTCTTTTAGATGTAGTGGTAAGTAGGATTATTTCCTTAATTTCTCTGTCTGTACATTGTTAGTGTACAGAAATGCAACAGATTACTCTCTCTCTCTCTCTCTCTCTCTCTCTCTATATATATATATATATATATATATATATGTGTGTGTGTTTCTATATATAGAAAGCTATATATATATAACATATATTTGTTATATATATATGTCCTACAATGTTACCAGATTCATTGATTAGCTCTAGTAGTTTTCTGGTGGCATCTTTAGGGTTTTCTATATATAGTGTCCTGTCATCTGCAAACAGTGACAGTTTTACTGCTTCCTCTCCAGTTTGGCTTCCTTTTATTTCTTTTTCTTGTCTTACTGGTGTGGCTAGGTCTTCCAATACTATGTTGTATAAAAGTGGCTGTAGTGGGCATCCTTGTCTTGTTCCTGATCTTTATTTATTTATTTATTTATATGCATCAGGTCTTAGTTGCAACACATGGGATCCTTCATTGCCTCACAGGTACTCTAGTTGTGGCATGCAGGCTTCAGTAGTTGCAGCATGTGGGCTCTCTAGTTTTTGCACAGAGGCTCTGGAGTGCACAGGCTCAGTAGTTGCTCCAGGGTATGTGTGATCTTGTTCCCCTACAGGGGATCAAACCTATGTCCCCTTCATTGCAAGGTGGATTCTTAACCACTGGACCACCAGTGAAGTCCCTGTTCCTGATCTTACAAGGAAATGCTTTCACCTTTTCATCACTGAGAATGATGTTTGCTTTGGGTTTCTGATGTATGAGCTTTATTATATTGAGGTAGGTTTCCTCTATGCCCACTTTCTTGAGAGTTTTTACTAAAATTAGTGGTTGGTGGTATAGTTACTAAGTCATGTCCAACTCTTGTGACCAAATGGACTGGAGCCTGCCAGGCTCCCCTGTCCACAGGATTTAGTGCTTAATATTAAAAATAATGTTCCTCAAAGGTCACCATGGTCCTAGCTTCGTTCAGTTCAGTCGCTCAGTCGTGTCCGACTCTTTGCGACCCCATGAACCGCAGCACGCCAGGCCTCCCTGTCCATCACCAACTCCCAGAGTCCACCGAAACCCATGCCCATTGAGTCAGTGATGCCATCCAACCATCTCATCCTCTGTCGTCCCCTTCTCCTCCTGCCCTCAATCGTTCCCAGCATCAGGGTCTTTTCAAATGAATCAGCTCTTTGCATCAGGTGGCCAAAGTATTGGAGTTCCTAGCTTAATACTCGGAGAAGGCAATGGCACCCCACTCCAGTACTCTTGCCTGGACAAGTACTGCTACTTAGCAGCAGCAGCAGCAGCAGCTTAATACTGATCTAATTAGGTGGAAGGGAGGAACTGAGTACTGAAGCTAATTTTTTAAGTGACTGTTGTGATTTTAACAGTGTAAGATGAAGACTAGCATCAGCTGGAGTTGGTTATGAATGCAGGGTTTCCACATCCATCCCAGATCTTCTGACTAGAGCCTGCAGGTTAATAAGATCCTGCTGAATAAAATCTGCATATAAATAGGATCCACAGGGTTCCTGTGCACTTTCCCCTAGAGAGACCCTTTCCCGGGCCCTTTGCATACACTGATAGTTTTCAAGAACAGGCCTTCTGAAAAACAGGGATTTCTCATAAGCTGTCTTTACTTAGCAAAGTGAAACAGATTTGTCATCACTTAAATGACAGATTTTTATTTCAAATCTTAAAATAGCCAGGAGAGGTATTATCATTTGCTTCCTACTTAAGAGAGAGTTGACATTTTTAAGTTTTGCAAATTTGGGATTCCAGTCTTCCTGTTTTACTCGAAACACTCAGTTTTGATACTGCTTAACTTCATTCATCCTAGTTCCTCCAATGATGGGACACTGTGGGTTTGAAGCACTCACCCCATCTGTACTTTGAAGAGGGGGATTGTATGTCTGTCACTCCTGTTTTAAATATTTTGCCAAGAGTGTGTCCAAAAACTTACATGATATATATATAATATAAAATGGTAACTCAAGTAAGTTGAATATGTGCTGCCCCTGGCCACCATGGGGCTGATCCACCACCCAGGAGCAGAGGGCCCCTCTCGGCCTCTCTGCTGCTGCGGGTCACCCTGGAGCCGATCCCCCACCACCGCCGAGCTCTGGCCCCAGCCTCTCCTCTCCTCCTGCTCTCTGATCCCATCTCCATCTCTGATGTGATCTCTCTGAAGCTGCTTCCCAGGCCGCCAGTGCCTCTTCAGGCTGCTGCTGCCATGTTGTCCTGTGGACATCTGGTCCACTGGAGAAGGAAATGGCAAAGACTTCTAAGGAGGCCTTACAGAAGCTGAGAAAGGAAGAGAAGTGAAAGGCAAGGAGGAAGGGAAAGATATACACAACTGAATGCAAAGTTCCAGAGAATAGTAAGGAGAGATAAGAAAGCCTTCTTAAGTGTACAATGCAAAGAAATAGAGGAAAATAATAGAATTGGAATGACTAGAGATCTCTTTAAGAAAACTGGAGATAGCAAGGGAACATTTCATTGCAAAGATAGGCACAATAAAGGACAAAAATGGTAAGGACCTACAAAAGCAGAAGAGATTAAGAAAAGGTGGCAAGAATACACAGAAGATGGTGTGATCACTCACCTAGAGCCAGGCATCCTGGAATTTGAAGTCAAGTGGTCCTTAGGAAGCATCACTACAAACAAAGCTAGTGGAGGTTATGGAATTCCAGCTGAGCTATTTCAAATCCTAAAAGATGATGCTGTGATAGTGCTACAGTCAATATGCCAGCAAATTTGGAAAACTCAGCAGTGGCCATAGGACTGGAAAGGGTCAGTTTTCATTCCAATCCCAAAGAAAGGCAATGCCAAAGAATGTTCAAATTACTGTACAATTGCACTAATTTCAGTGGTAGCAAGATTATGCTCAAAATCCTGTGCAGTAGGCTTCAGCAGTACATGAGCCGAGAACTTCCAGATATACCAACTGGAATTATAAAAGGCAGAGGAACCAGAGATCAAATTGCCAACATTTGTTGGACCATGAAGAAAGCAATGGAATTCAAATAAAACATCTGCTTCATTGACTATGCTAAATCCTTTGACTCTGTGGCTCACAACAAACTGTGGAATATTCTTAATGAGATGGGAGTACTAGACCACATTACCTGCCTCCTGAGAAACCCATATGCAGGTCAAGAAGCAACAGTTAGAACTGGACATGGAACAATGGACTGGTTCCAAATTAGGAAAGGAGTACGTCAAGGGTATATATTTTCACCCTGCTTATTTAACTTATATGCATCATATGAGATGCTGGGCTGGGTGACTCACAAGCTAGAATCAAGATGGACATGTGGATGGACATGAGTTTGAGCAAGCTCTGGAAGATGGTGTAGGACAAGGAAGCCTAGCATGCCTAGCATACGACCATGGGGTCACAAAGAGAGGGGCATGAATTAGTGACTGAACAACAAAAACAAATTATTAATGACCTGTATCTCTTATGTGCTTAAGATAAAACTACATGTTATATGACTAAAAAAGGAACTATTTTGTTCTGTTTTTTTTTTTTTAATTTTCATACCAGAAAATGCCCTTACTATTTTATGGGAGGAATGTAATAATATCTTTGTATAGATTTCAATGATATTCTTTTTAAAATCAACTCTATTTAGGTATAATATGCATACAATAAAATGCATCAAAGTATACGTTTCAATTCAATGCCTTTTACTGTATGCAAATTATACGTCAATAAATGTGATTTTTTGTGTGTGTCAAGCATTGTCATTATTTGTTGCCTATTGCTAAAGTAGTTCATAGAAGGTCAAGAAAAGTCGGTAGAAAGGGATGGATGCATTGGGCAGGCACAGAAAATAAATAGCTAGGTGGACCGGGGAGGGTGAAAAGTTTAAAGTACAAGAGATTTAGAAGAGATCGTTTTTATAAGACTTTTTGTCTTTAAAGTTAAGATGTTGAATTTAATATCAGGAACTCTGCAGCATTTTTGAGGAGGGGACTAAAAAATGAGAGAAAAGAAAGCTTTGTTCTGCAGAGTCTACCTAACGAGCCTCAGTTTCCTTCTGGTCTGTCTGCCTTTTTTCATGTAGACCCCTGTATTTGCCACAATGCTTTCATCCAGTGACTTTGCATCTGCTTCTTGGGAGCTTGTGGTCCGAGTTGATCATCCAAATGAAGAAGAGCAGAAGGACATTACACTGAGAGTGTCTGGAGACCTGCACATTGGGGGAGTGATGCTCAAGTTAGTGGAACAGATAAGTAAGTTGCTGCCTATTTATGGTTTCTCAACATTTGAAACCCTCTATGTCGCATTGTCACTGAATGACTGAATTAGGCTGTCTAAGTTTTTCTGATCATCCATCTTGCAATGGATCCTTTTTGCAGGAAGAAGAGAAATGGGGAGACCTGAAGGAGCCCAAACAACCCCCTGACCCCTTCTGTCAAAACTTGAGTCTTTGGTAACAAACAGAAGCTCCCCAGTAGGTGTAATAACCTATTTGCACTGGAATGAGGTCACCCTCCATGGTGACATCTAGGGTAACCTTAGACCACATCTGGGGCTTTAGACTGTTAATGTGATTTTTTGTCAATGCTTGATTGCTCTGTGAGCAAGCAGCCTGGTGCCAGTGTCCTTACCCACCATTTGCTATTAGCGCTTGTTTATTTTTTTTTCCATTTATTTTTATTAGTTGGAGGCTAATTACTTTACAATATTGTAGTGGTTTTTGTCATACATTGACATGAATCAGCCATGGATTTACATGTATTCCCCATCCCAATCCCTCCTCCCACCTCCCTCTCCACCCGATTCCTCTGGGTCTTCCCAGTGCAGCAGGCCCAAGCACTTGTCTCGTGCATCCAGCCTGTAGCCCTTGTTTAAACAAGGAAAGAAGTCTTCAGGGTCAGAGTCTTCACATCAGGAGTCAACATGATGGACCTAGAATTTAATGTTGTATTTTCTTTGCATTTATTTTTTTGTCTTCTATTTAAGACCACCAATGTTGGCTTTTCACTTATACTAGTGATATAAAGTATTTTTAAGTTAAGTCTTCATTGGAATATAATATACATACAAAAATTGCAATTATCATAAGTGTATATTTCAGTGAATTTTCACAAAGTCATATAACCATCACCCAGATCAAGATACAAAGCAGTACCTGTTCCCCCACCCAAGTCCCACATCTGACACCTCCCAGCCACTGTCCCACTGAGGGTAGCTCTTACCCTGAATTGTTACTCCAAAGGAATAATTTTACTTGTTTGCAAACTGTATATATGTGGAATTATACAGGATAATATACCCTCAAGCATCTGCTTTCTTTCATGCCACATTATGTCTGTGAGATTTATCCATTTTATTGCATATAGTTTGGGTTCTTTGATTCTCATTGCTGTATAATATTCCATTATATGATTTTTTTTTCCTGCAATTTATCCATTTACCTGATGGTTTATGGATATTGGGTTCTTTACGTATGGGGGCTTTTATAGATAGTACCTGTCTTAGGTAAGTATAGGCATTTCTGTTGGGTATATAGATCAGAGAAAAGTCACTGAATCATAGGATTTTCCAAAATAGTTACAGCATTACAGCATTTATGCTACACTGTGCTGTGCACAGTTGCTTCAGTCATGTCTGACTGTTTGTGACCCCATGGACTGTAGCCTGCCAGGCTCCTCTGTCCATGGGATTCTTCAGGCGAGAATACTGGAGTGGGTTGCCATGCCCTCCTCCAGGAAATCTTCCCAGCCCAGGGATTGAACCCACATCTCCTGCATTGCAGGCAGATTCTTTACCACGGAGCCATGGGGGAAGCCTACAGCATTTATGCTTCTGCTAATAGCACTGAGAGAAAGGTTGTCTAATTTAAAAAGAGAGAAAGAGGAAGAAACCATTTTTTAAGTAAAAGTACTGGTGGCTCTTAATTTAGCAAAATAAAAGATTGAATATGACTCTAACATTGGCAAGGGGGAAAGATTCAATCTTGATGCCAAGGGGCGTTGAAGAAGTGGAAGGGTTCAGTGTTGATGCTACCATTGAGAAATAAATATTCAGCTTTGATTTTAGTGTAAACAGTTTTGGAAACTGGTATGCAGTGGTACTGATAACAGGTGTACATTCCTGAGAAGAGTGAAATGTAAACTTCTCAGTAGTTCTGTGTGCACTTTGACCAGAAGCTTTTGATATTCTCTTGTGAGCCAGTGTCTGAAGGATGCATCTATTTTTCCTCATTGTTGTGGTGGTGTTGGTGGTGCATGGGCCTCTCTAGTTGTAGCACATGGGCTTAGTTGCCCCACAGCAGGTGGGTTCTTAGTTCCCTGACCAGGGATCAAACCCACAACCCCTGCATTGAAAGGGGGATTCTTAACCACCAGACCACCAGGGACCTGGAAGGCTTCTTTTCTATTAGAGAAATCATCTTGATTAAACAAAGCCTTGCTTCTGGCCTTCCCAGAAAGGACCGTGGCACTGAGGGACTTGGGAGAAGAAAACTTTAGCATTTTACTGTGAATAAAAGTTGTATGTTTCTGTTCCTTCCATAGTATTTATATATAAAGAAAGTAAGGTTCGTCGGTCTTCTAGCTGCCTTGTCTTAGGGACTTTGACAAGAAGCCAAGAATGATGGAGCCTTGGGTTGTGGGAAGAGATGAGAGTGGAAGACCAGCGTTGGCTTTGGTTTTGCACATGCGGGACTTGACTCCAGGGTGCAAGTGCTTGCTCTCACTTTACTGTGCTCTGTTCTCTATTCTTGCAGACATAGCCCAGGACTGGTCAGACTTTGCCCTTTGGTGGGAACAGAAACATTGCTGGCTTCTGAAAACACACTGGACTCTGGACAAATGTGGGGTCCAGGCAGATGCAAAGCTTGTCTTTACCCCTCAGCATAAAATGCTTCGCCTCCGCCTGCCAAACATGAAGACAGTGCGATTGCGAGTCAGCTTCTCAACTGTGGTCTTCAGAGCTGTCAGCGACATCTGCAGAGCCCTGAGTGAGTCCCCGCAGGCAGGCACCTCTACCCTCTGTGCTCTCAGCAAAAGAGGACAGGAAAATACATGCACTTCTGCCCACAAGTGGTTGCTTTTACATCCCTTATTAGGAGAACAGTTTTCAAGCCCAGTTCTGGGAACTTTAGCCATTTAAGTGAAGTTAAACCAGATAGAGCATTATCAGAGTAAATCAGGTTCATTTATCCAAAGCTTAAAGCTATTTCAAAAGAAACTTGTAAACAGAAAAGACAGCACCATTAAGATTTCCACCCCAAAACTCATTTCCCTAAGTCATACTGAAATTGTTATATTGAAGACAAACAAAAAGAGTTCCATTAAATCATTATCACCATAGAGCTGATATGTCTATGTTGTTTTTGAGATAATGGTGATGCAATGTCTTAATTGCTTCCCTAACACTTGGCTCCAGTAAATAACTCTGTCCATAAACATCATTTGTGGAGTTTATTTTAAGCAGAAACATACAGTTAATTATGGATCAAAAATTTTAACAGCCTTTAGGGACAACACTGCCCAAACCATTTCATCTTTCTGGGACTTCCATAATAGTAGCAAACTCTGGGTCAGGAAGTATAGTTTTTGAGTGTGTAGGTATATTCTTGAGTTCCAGGCTAATATTTAGTATTTGAGCATAGTATACACACTATGAGACACACACTATGAGAGTAGGTGATCTATCTTCCCCATTAAACTGTAAACTGCTTATTCATTCCTTCAGCAAATATATATTTTGACTTAGCAGGCATTATGTGAGTGCTAGAGATTGGTTAGCAATAAAAATAATCCAAACCTTCTGCCCTCCCTGAGCTTTCATTGTAGCATACAAAGACAGAAAATAAATCATGTAAAAAATAAGATGTTAAAAGGGGGTAGGTAATGGAGGAAGAAAAGGGAAAACGTCTAATAATGTACACAGTATTGAGAGTGCCAGTGTTGAGTGGTGCAGGCTGGTATGGTATTATATAGGATGAAGACAGCCGTTTCTTGAGCATGTCTGTTCCTAACACTTAGCACAATGCCCGACACATGTCACCTGCTTAGTAACTGTTTGCTGACCAGACAAATGATTGGAAGCTTCCATTACAAAAGGTAAGTTCCAGAATTGTCCTTGATGCATGGGGAGCAAATGATATAAGCACAAGGTACCTGGCTTTCAATAATATTCTAATGAAAATTTTAAAACAGTAAATGAGTAAATAAAATGTACATTTCAGACACCACAGTGGACTAGAAACACACATTATAGCTGGGTTCAAAAATTTGAAGTTTTTAAATAAACAGAAACATTCGTACATTCTTTTCTTTGCAGATTACACCTTCATGGTAACTCTAAATGACTCAACTTGGCATTTCTAATAATCACTTTTTTTTTGGCCAAGATGCACAGCATGTAGGATCATAGTTCCTTATTGAGGGATTGAACTTTGAACCTATGCCCCCTGCAGTGAAAGTTCCAAGACCTAACCACTGAAACTTCAGGGAATTCCCTAACAATCACTTTTTATATCTGACCAACTGAACTTAAATCAAATCTAGCAACAGGATGATTTTTTTTTCTCTCAAAGAAAAGACAAGATACAAACCTTGGGCTTAGATATCAGTGGGGTTTTTGTTTTGTTTTGTTACTAATGCTTCCACTGGGAATTTTTATTCTTCTCCTGGTTTTGTGTATAAATTATGCATTTGGAATGGTTACAGGTGTGTGTTGCAACCTGACTTTGTTTACTGACAGCTCAACTGCCAGATTCAACCTCAGCTGAACTAAGAGGTGGGAATACCTGTGGAAATAGTGCATTTACTTCCAGGAAAGCTGCCCAGAGATTCTAACATCCAAATTCCTTGATTTTTACCTGGGATCATAACAGTTCAGTGTACAATCAGTTCTAATTGGAAATGGCAGTTAGAAGTATATTTGAGTAATGGAGGACAGTGGGGACTATCTTCTTAGCTTGAGTTCTCCAGAAGCAGACCTGAGATAAGAATTCAAGTACAAATATTATTTATTTGAAAGGTTATGCCAGGAAACACTGGCTGGGAGTGGTGAAGTGAGACTGGGAAGCTGCTGCTGCTGCTAAGTCACTTCAGTCGTGTCCGAATCTGTGTGACCCCATAGACAGCAGCCCACCAGCCTCCCCTGTCCCTGGGATTCTCCAGGCAAGAATACTGGAGTGGGTTGCCATTTCCTTCTCTAATGCATGAAAGTGAAAAACTAAAGTGAAGTCGCTCAGTCGTGTCCAACTCTTAGTGACCCCATGGACTGCAGCCCACCAGGCTCCTCCGTCCATGGGATTTTCCAGGCAAGAGTACTGGAGTGGGGTGCCATTGCCTTCTCTGAGACTGGGAAGAGAAGGCTGCTAATAAGCTAATGTCACTAATCATCTCACACTGTGGACAGCTGGGGCCCTCTGGGAAGCAGTGTGGTCATGCCTTGAAGCTGGGCAAACGAGGGGTGAGGGAGCCGGGGTGTTAATATACCATCCCACCAGTCACTGAGTCATTGAGGGCTGCTCTTGGAGAGTGTTAACTCTCTGAACTTATGTGACCTGTTGCATCTCTGGGGAGTGAGGACTCTGGCATCCAGAGCAGGCCCTTGGATAACGAGATACATCCTAGCTACCATTGGAGGGAGGTGCACCAAAATGGGGAGGGCCAGGAGATGGACAAGGTGCCTAGGATGTCTGCCACAGTGACGGAAGAAGCCACTGGGCAGAGAAAGGCTCTGAGGACCACTGGTCCATAAAGAAAAAGATGGAGTCCTTGCTGGTTGCTTAAAAACCTAAAAACAGAAAAGGGAGAAAGGAAAGAAGGAAGGAGGGAGGGGGAAACTGCTAGTAAGTAAATGACACAAGAACAGCGAAACACTAGGAATGGATTAAGGGGGCGGCGAGCATGGGAGGGGGCCACCATACTAGCATTGAATATGTTTGAAATTGTTTCACAATAGATTTAAAAACAAACTAGAAATTTTCCTAGAATGAATCTCCCTCCACTGTTTGATTCCCACACACCCATTTTGGGGGTCACTAATCTTCAATTTCTTCAAAAGGAATGTCATTTAGTTCCATTTACTTCTCAGGAGTTTTTTGAGAAATGGTTTCAAATGCCCAACATGACTCAAAGTCTTAGAAGGAATTTTCTTTTTACTTCTTGCTTTTCTTTTATATATTTATTTTTAGATATTAGAAGAGCAGAAGAACTGTCCTTATTAAAGCCTTCAGGTGAATATTTTAAAAAGAAGAAGAAAAAAGAAAAAAATAATAAGGAGCCCATAATTGAAGATATTTTAAACCTGGAGGGTTCTCCAACAATTTCAGGTCCATCTGGTAAGATTCATGATAGTTGTTTCATTATTTTAATTTATTATTAAATCCAAGAATTTCTTAAATTCTTAAGTCCCAAGAACTCTCCTCCCCTCTACTTAGCCTTCCCGCCTCTCTCCCTAAACAAGGACTAAAACTAAGGATTCCAGTGATAAGGAAAGAATATCCAACTAATTTTAGAACAGAAATTTTTTAATAAGGTATGTTATATAGCTCATTATTTTAATTGTATATATTATGTTGCTGATGAATGAAAAACTTTAGCAGAATTGACCATGAATTTGTGGGATAAGGAAATTTGTTAGATCACTCAAATATACTTCTCTTCCTGAGTCTACCTTCACATGACTCTTTCCTGAACTCAATTTAAATCTTGCATTGGGTATGTAACAGGAGGGGCAGTAAAAATTCTAGAAAAGTGTCATCCTTTTATTTTTACAGACATACTCAGAGATACTGCAGACAGCTTTAATAAAGCAAGTTACATAAAATTTTTTTTTGTTTCCCAGCGCGTATAAAAATTATGTTTACACTGTATTGCTACCATTAACAGTGCAATAGCAGTATGTCTTTTTAAAATGTACACACCTTAATTTAAAATATTTTATTGCTAAAAATGCTAACATCATCTGAGCCTTCAGCAAGTCGTAGTAAGTAGTAAAATGAAAAATAACTGATCACAGTGACAAATATAACAGTAATGAAAAAAAGTTTGAAATATTGGAGGAGTTACCAAAATGTAACACAGAGTCACTGTAGTAAGCAAATGCCACTGGAAAAATGGTGCCAGTAGACTTACTGTATGCAGAGTTGCTGCAAACCTTCAACTTGTTAAAAAACAAAAAACCATATATTTGAAGCATGATGAAATGAGATATGCCTATATATAAGAATGAATCTCTAGCTTGCTTGCAGCATTAAGAGTTTCTTGCATAGTATATTCCAGTACAAAGAATGAAAGGGATTATTTATACTTCCCTTATGCAAATTAGAGTCAGATGATTTATAAACCATCAACTAGCTAAGTTCTTTAAACTGGTAAGCATTGCAATTTAAGAGATTTGCCAAAAAATAAAGTATATGCATGTATTCTGTGAGAGCTCCAGTTTTCTAATAGTGCCAGAATTCACTACTGATATAAGAGAATTTTGAATTATTGAGAAGGAGATAGTCCCACATTTGTCTGGGTTGATTTTGGAAGTTTTTACAGCCTATGAGTTTCCAAGCTTTCCAGGGACTAAATATTCAGACTGGAGTTTTACTTGTGTTTAACTTCTGCCATCGTTCATCTGATTTTTCTAAATGATACATTTAAGTTCAAAATCCATTTTAGTACAAGCAGTGTTGATAATTATTGTTCTAAATATTCTTATCCCAAATCTCATATCCTAGTTCGTACTCTCCTTTGCTTTGCAGTAAGTCCTGGCTTATACAGTAAAACCATGACCCCCACATATGACCCCATAAATGGAACACCAGCATCGTCCACAATGACTTGGTTCAGCGACAGCCCTCTGACAGAACAAAACTGCAGCATCCTGGCATTCAGCCAGCCCCCACAATCACCAGAAGCACTTGCTGATATGTACCAGGCTCGGTCTCTGGCTGACAAAGCCAAGCTTAACGCAGGGTAAGGACATGACTTGTTTTACTTCTCTGTGAACTGATGTTAATGTAGTGAGAGAGATGCTGCAGAGATGAGGCAGGGAGGGGTTGTTCAGTTCTCAAGTCAGCACACCTAGGAATTGTATACTATACACAAAGGTCAGCACTGATTTTAGCAACAAAAAAGACAAAATGTAGCCATTTATCATTTCCATACATTTAAAGTGTGACATTTACACATTGGGTTAACTCAATGGTTTATTGGCATGTGAATGCTAATTCTTTGTTCAGACACGTGTGCAAATTTTATGAGATGTAGATCAGCTTATAAGTGGGCTGATCCCCTCTGTGGCAGCAAGGGAGACCCAAGTGGCCCCGCTGTCTTTTGTAGAACACCCCTTTTCCATTCTGCATTCCAATTAGTGAGTCCTTAAGCTTTGAAGTGGTCTCAGAAAATACACTCAAACTATTTCTCAAACCACCACTTATTTCACTCACTGTTGTCCAAGTCAAGTCACATTTGTTAGCATTCCACTCCCCTGGATCCTAGTTCATACTCTCCTTTGATCCCGTGAGATCAGACCCCACGTATGTCCATCTGTCTGTCCTGCTATTGTCTCATGCTCCCCATCCCCCCAAAGTGCATGCTCATTCCTGTGTCAGTGCCTTGCCTCCAGCTTTTCCTCTGCTCCAGGACCCTCTCCTTCCCTCCTGCTCTGCTTGCCTGTCCATGTTTGTCCTATAAGGCCCAGCCACTTACAGTCTTCTCAGAAGATCAGTCATTTCCCTCAAGTCCTATTCTACTGCTCCAAAGTCACCTTGTTTCTTTAATATGAGGCTTGGTCACCCCACTGACTGTCAGTTCCTTTCGGATGGAGACTGCATCTTGGATATTCTTATTCTCCCACAGGGGAGTATATGATTATATAGTAGAATATTTTATATGTAAATAAAGAAAAACAATTTATATAAACATATATAAAATATATAAAACATGTAAAATGAACTTCTATATATTCATATATAGAAGTTCAAGCCATTTTCAGTGGTATTGGAGGCCCCTCATTCCCACCTCATTTCGTTCTTAACTTTTATTCTCTCCTTACCATTACCCAGTATTTATCTTTCAGACTCTAGAACTGTGCTACCCAGTACAGGAGTCACCAGCAGCATGCGGACATTTACATTTATGTTTGAATATAATTAAAATTAAAACATGGCACTAGCCACATCTAAATCTTCAGTAGCCTCGTGTGGCTAGTGGCTATTCAATTGGACTGGGCAATACAGAATATTTCCATGGTTACAGAAAGTTCTAGACAATAAGATAAAGCCACTTTGGGGTCAGATCCCCTGGTGTGGAAGTGGGCAGCAGTCAGCAAGTACACACAGCAGAAGTACGTGCGGCAGTCAGCAACTGCAGGTTCTCATTCTGGCTCCACCAGGAGACACAGGACCCTGAACATGTCACTTAATGTTACTGAGGCTCATTTTCCTCATTGCTAAAACTAGGAAAATAATAACTGCCCTGGCTCCTTCACCGATTTACTCTAAAGTGTCAGTGAGAAAATACATAAATACAAAAAAGCACTTAGACTGCTGTGTGATAAAATGGAGGCACAGCTATTATCAAGTCATCTCCTTTACTGGGTTTAGACTATGTTACTCACCCAGACTTTGTTCAAGGGTGTATATTGACATACATGCATACATTTACATGTATATGTATATATATCATATTATATAATACTAAAATATGTGTGTAAAATTGATTGACTTTTAACATATCTTCTTGTTTTCTAGTTGGCTAGACTCCTCACGTTCCCTTATGGAGCAAGGCATCCAGGAGGATGAGCAGCTGCTGTTACGATTTAAATACTACACTTTCTTTGACTTGAACCCCAAAGTAAGATACTGTTTCTCTATCCTCTCGCTCCTTTTTTAATGTAAATGCATAGAAATGTAAAACTGAATCATTTAGTTACCAAAATTAGGATTAATTCTTGTAACTTTCTGTTTAGCTCTGCAGGGTTAGACCTATAAGTGTATACTGGTCTCTGGATTTTCCTGTTGGTCTCTGGTGGGAATGGTGAGCTTCCCCTGAGTTAGGGGAGTCTCTAAGGACCTTCTTGCATGGCGTGTGCTGCCCCTCTCCACAGGGACCCAGAACAAGAAGAGAGTGAGTGGCTCACAAGCGTGAAGCTGGAGCCCTTCATGCTTAAGAAGAAGGGAGTTGTCAGGGCCAGGTTAAGAGGTGTAGGGGTTCTGGCGAAGAAGCCAGGACCCCATGATAGCACACACTTGGCTCCCTACCACAGTGCTGAATGAGCTTTGATTGGTGAGACAGAGGGATCACCTGGGTCAGTAAAGAACCCACCTGCTTGCCAACTCACGTATTAAGTGCACATCCCCTCCCTGAAGTTTCCCAGGACAGCTGAGTGGTGAAACAAGGCCTCTGCATGTCTGCTCTTTCTTTGCCCCAGCTCTCCCCTTTGTAGAGCTGTGAACCAGCACTTAAAATGGCCCAAAGTAGAAAATACAAGCTGGGTCACCTGAGTGCACAGAAGGATTGTATTATTTCCACCCCAGTACCATGCTGGCTGCTTTTGTCCAATTACCAAAGGGCTGCTCTTTGAGGAGCCTGCCCATCCTTTCCTCATGCATGGCAGTGTCTCTGTCTCTTGTGCCACTGTCTTCTCCTTAGTCCTCAATTTAAATCTGGTCTCCAGAGGCCTTCTGGGCTCACTGCTTCTCTAACTGGTGTCTTCTTTAAAATAAGCCCTATTGTCCTTCTGTGGAGCTCTTGCTCAGTCTTTGGTTGAGATCCAGCTTTCTGTCCCTGGACCTGGCTTGTGTCTGGAATGCATCACTTCCATCAAACCGTGGTAAGAAAGCAAATTTTGGTTCTTCTTTAATTAAATCTTGAGGAGAAATCACTGTTACAGCTTCTCCCAACCAATTGTTTTAATTTTCCTAAAGGCAATGTGAATTATACAGCTATTAGGATTTTCTTTTTGTGTTGCCTATTAGAACCAAATCTTTTTTTTAATATTTATTCATTTTAATTGTTGATGATTGGTTACAATGTTGGTTTGATTTCTGTTATACATTAACATGAATTAACCATAGGTGTACATGTGTCCCCTCCCTTTTGAATCTCCCTCTCAGCTCCCACTCATTCTCACCCCTCTAGGCTGTTACAGAGCCGTTTGAGTTCCCTGAGTCATACTGCAAATTCCCATTGGCTGTCTACTTACATATGTTAGTATATGTGCATCCATGCTACCCTCTCCATTTATCTCACGCTTTCCTTCTTCTCCCCCATCCTTGTCCATAAGTCTGTTCTCTATGTCTGCATCTCCACTGCTGTTCTGTGAACAGATTCGTCAGTACCATCCTTCTAGATTCCATATATATGTGTTAATATATGATATTTGCTTTTCTCTTTCTGACTTCCTTCACTCTGTGTAATAGGGTCTGGGTTCCTCTACCTCATTAGAACTGACTCACATGCATCCCTTTACATGGCTGAGTAATATTCCATTGTATATATGTACCACTACTTCTTTATTCATTCATCTGTCAGTGGACGTCTAGGTTGCTTCCATGTCTTGGCTATTGTAAATAGTGCTGCAATGAATACTGGGGTACATGTGTCTTTTTCAGTTCTGTTTTCTTCAGGGTATATGCCTAAAAGTGATATTGCTGGGTCCTTTGGTAGTTTTATTCCTAGTTTTCTAAGAAATCTCCATACTGTCTTCCATAGTGGCTGTAACAATTTACATTCCTACCAGCAGTTTAGGAGGGTTCCCTTTTCCCCACACCAGCTCCAGCACTTGTTGTTTGTGGATTTTTTTATTATGGCCATTCTTTCTGAAATGAAGTGATATATCATTCTGGTTTTGAATTGCATTTCTCTAATAATGAGTGATGTTGAAAATCTCTTCATATGTTTATTAGCCATCTGTGTATGTTTTCTTTGGAGAAATGTCTGTTTAGGTCTTTTGCCCACTTTTTGATTGGGTTGTTTGTTTTCCTGGTTTTGACTTGTGTTTATTAGCCATCTGTATATTTTCTTTGGAGAAATGTCTGTTTAGGTCTTTTGCCCACTTTTTGATTGGGTTGTTTGTTTTTCTGGTATTAAGTTGTATGAGCTCTTGTATATTTTGGAAATTAATTCTTTGTCAGTTGTTTGTTTGCTATTATTTTATCCCATTCTGTGGGTTGTCTTTTCACCTTGTTTATGGTTTCCTTTGCTGTGCAGAAGCTTTTAAGTTTAATTGGGTCCCATTTATTTGTCTTTGTTTTTATTTCTATTATTCTAAGAGGTGGATCATAAAGGATCTTGCTATGATTTATGTCATATAGTGTTCTGCCTGTTATCTCCTAAGAGTTTTATAGTTTCTAGTGTTACATGTAGGTCTTTAGTCCATTTCAAGTTTATCTTTGTGTATGGTGTTACTAAATGTTCTAATTTCATTCTATAGTAGTTGTCCAGTTCTTCTAGCACCACTTATTGAAGAGACTGTCTTTTTCACATTGTATATTCTTGCCTCCTTTATCAAAGATAAATGTCCATATATTCATGGATTTATCTCTGGGCTTTTTTTCCTGTTCCATTGGTCTATACTTCTGTTTTTGAGCCAGTACCTTAATGTCTTGATGACTGTAGTTTTGTAGTATAGTCTGAAATCAAGCAAGTTGATTCCTCCAGCTCCATTCTTCTTTATCAAGATTGCTTTGGCTTTTCAGGATCTTTTGTATTTCCATACAGAATTATGAAATTATTTGTTCTAGTTCTGTGAAAAATGTCATTGGTAATTTGATAGGGACTGCATTGAATCTGTAGATTGCTTTTGGTAGTGTAGTCATTTTCACAATATTGATTCTTCCAACCCAGGAGCATGGAACATCCCTCCATCTGTTTATGTCATCATGATACTGTACATAGAAAACCTTAAAGACACTATCAGAAAATTACTAGAACTAATTAGTGAATTTGGTAACATCACAGGATACAAAATCAATAAACAGAAATCACTTGCATTCCTATATACTAACAATGAAAAATCAGAAAGAAAAATTAAGGAATCAATCCCATTTACTATTGCAACTAAAAGAATAAAATACCTAGGAATAAACCTACCTAAGGAGACAAAAGAGCTATATACAGAAAACTATAAGACACTGATGAAAGAAATCAAAGAACCAAATCTTTACATTTTCTATGATCTCAATTTTTAATCTCATTCCTGATTCAATTTACTCTTTCCTTGCCTAGTTTCCAGGTAGCTTATTCTACCTTGTTGTATGCTATCTATTCTAACACATAAGGTTTTTTCTGAAATCTGATAACACATAAATAAAGCATATTTATGCATTTTCTAATTGCTAAGTCAGGAATGTGGCTCCATCTTGTCTCTTCAGACTTGTACCCCTTTTGTTTATTTTTTCATTTATTTGTCAAACAACTACTGTGTGCCAAGGGCTTCCCAGGTGACTCAGTGGTAAAGGATCTGCCTGCCAATGCAGGAAATGGTCCCTGAGTCAGGAAGATCCCCTGGAGAAGGAAATGGCAACCCAACTCCAGTATTCTTACCTGGAAAATCCCTTGGATGGAGGAGCCTGACAGGCTACAGTACATGGGGTTGCACAGAGTCAGACATGACTTAGCAACTAAACAACAAACAACAACCCATGTACCAAGGACTAAGATAGCAGCTGAGGACCCAAAACTGCTGGACATTAGAATAAGGTTTTCAAATTTATGAAATAAAACATGAGATTACAGTAAGGAATAATTATATTGAACTATCGTAACCAAAATCTTTTTCAAAATGGATATAAGTAAATCTCTTTCATTAATTGAATAAACAAGAATATATATTGGCCATTCTCATAACTAGCTTAATATTGAAGTGGTGGTGATGCATGTGAGCATTATTGGAAAATAGCAACTGTGAGGAATATGAAAAATCTGTGATTCTGGTAGTCATGAGTGCTCTATAATACTGTGGTTTGTTGCCTACATTCATCATGGATGGAAATGCTAAATTTCCATTAGGAATTGGTGCAAATGGAGGTGTAGTTTTTCCTTATCCAAGCTTACAGACTACCTGATTTAGACTCCCAGATTCAGAAACCCTGCCCCAGGATCACACTCAAGTCTTATTCCTTCTAGAATAAGAACTTTATTCTTGGTCATGCTGGCCCTTCCATTTTCTGAGTCACAACTGAGTGTGATTTCAGGACTCCTACTTCTAATTGTACCACATTCATGAATTTTTGCCACAAACTGCAGACTCCTTGAAAATAGGGAACACTTCTGATATATCCTTTGCCCTCCACCCCTACATGTTGCAAGGATGCTAGGAGAGATCCTTGGTCACTTGCTCTGTGATTGGATCAGCTAGGTCTTGAAGGCCCTCCTATCAGTTTCCTTGCCAAGAGATTCTACATTAAATTCCTTGCTTTGGCAATTGAGCTCATTGCTGAAAATAAACTCAGTCATCTACTTCTAAAAAATTTGTCAGAAACATGTGAATGAATGCAGTCAAAAAATGCAGACATGTCAGATCATCAGCCTAAGTTAGCAAATATGGAAGAGCAGCGTTAAATATGTGTTGTCTAAAAAGTGGAAGATTATGAGATGGTCCAGTTGTTAAGACTCCATGCTTCTAATACAGCGGGTGTAGGTTTGATTCCTGGTTGGGGAACTAAGATCCCACATGCCTCTCAGTGTGGCCAAATTTTTTTTAAAAAAGTAAAAATAATTTAAAAAGTGGAAGATTAAAAGGAATCATAATCCCAGAAGTGGGCAAGCACACCAAAGCACACCAAAGGTCACCAGGGCCGTTGTCCTAGGCTCTTTGCCTCCAGTCTCTGCTTGCTTAATTGGTAAGGAAT